CCCCATCAGAACAACCCAAACCCTCCCAGGACAACCCGGGCTCCACCACGGGACAACCCGAACTCTACCACGGGACAACCCAAACCCCACCAGGACAACCCAAACCCCACCAGAACAAACCAAACCCCACCAGGACAACCCAAACCCCACCAGGACAACCCAAACCCCACCAGAACAACCCAAACCCCACCAGAACAACCCAAACCCCACCAGAACAACCCAAATTTCACCTTTTCTGCAGCGCTTCCAGCTTCTTGTAGAGACCAGGCTTGTTTGTAGCTTCAATCACGTTGGGAGTTGTAAGGGCATCAGCCATAATTTCCTGCAAGAGGAAAAGTTCTTCAGCTCCACCCAAACCAGCGGCGAAATCTCAGGGTCTGGGGAGGGACAGGCTTCGCACTTTGAAATCTTGATCAATCTCATCAAAATGCTTCGAGTCCTCCGGCAGCTGACTGCGGATGTCTTCGGAGCCAATGAAGATGCTTTCCAGGTGACTCCATGTCCTCTGCACCTCAAACCAGATGCTGATAACAGAGTCAGCAGTCGACAGCTTCTGCTGCCAGCTTGACACCTTCTGAAGGAAGAAGGCTAGGTGCTTGGAGGTCATCAGGTTCTGCAGCTGCACTTGGTTGTCCTCCAGTGTCTCAATGAGCGCCTCGTCCAGCCTGAGGAGCATGGTGCCGGTCCTGGCATGGGGCTGGTGCTCGAACTCCATCGCAGCCCAGGTCGTGTCCAGAGTGCTCAGCACCTGCAGAGGGGTGGGAGAAAGGAGCTCGACTCTGGGGCCCCGAGTCCCAAACCCTGCGGAGGGCAAGGCCGTGGTAGAAACGCCTCCACCGGGGCACGAGCTCCAGGGGGCCGAGCTGCAGGAACACAAGAGAGACACCGAGCCGCACCGGAGCAGGGCTCTCAGCAAAGCAGGGAAGGAACCAAGTGACATTTACCTTCTCCATCCCCAGCTCTTTCATGGCTTTGTCCACGATGTCACGAACCTCATCCTCGAACTTGTGCAGGTTCAGCTGCAGCAGATCCCCGAGGGTTGTGTCCTCAGACATGGTGAAGTTCACCTGGAGCAGAACCAGCACCGTCGGGGCATGGACTCCCCTTGGTGGAGAGGCAGCCCAGGGACTCGCCCAAACAAACTCATCAACACTCGTATTTAAAGACCCTACACAAATATTTTTTTATACTCTAGCTTTTAGACCAGACACCCCTGAGGAATGCAAAGCTCAGGAGCCTCCTGGGCCAGGCATAGGAGCCAGGGAAGGGTGGGAGGGCTGGGAGCACCTTGGTCGCCTGCATGAGCTCCTGCCAGTGCCGATTCCTGATGGCCGGGCTCTGCAGCTCGTTCACGGCACGCAGGGACGTTATCATGTTCTTCACGCTGTTGTCCAGCCCTGTGAACGCATCCCAGCTTCTCATCTCCTTACCCAAGCTCCGAATGTCTTTAGCAAATTTCTTACAATCCATATCCATCTGCTCAACGTTGATATCCTTCCACCTGGTAGTCTTCCAGTCGTCAATGGTCCTGTTAACCTGAATTCGGGAACAGGTTATCACAGGACGTGTAATCAGGAGCAGCATTGCTGCCCAGGATGAAGAGTAACGCACCCAGCACCCACACCTCCCCTGCACCAGCAGACCTGCGCTAATGCTGTGACAACTTGCCCCGTGTCTCAAGGCAACGAGACTCTTGGAGGAGCTGCAGTAGCTTCGCACCTTTGGCTGGCAATGCCCGGCTGGCGCAGGGGCAGGGCCAAGCCCAGGGCTTCCCGGCAGACAGCAGCTTGTCACAGCCTCCGAACTTCAACACTGTGAGGAGCAGCCCAGAAACCTGCTCTGCACATCCCCGTGCTGGCTCACAGACAGCAGCACGTACCAGAATGATCATGTCCCAGAGAGCCTTCAGCAGGCGCGCCTCCCTGCGGCACGCTTTGAGCTGTCTGTAATCTGGGACGGACACTTCGAACAGCGCGGCTGACTCGGACAGGGCTGCCATGCTGCTCTCCATGGCGGCGATGTTCTGATTTTGCTGGCCGGAACAAAAGAAAAGGTCTCAGCCGGGGACTGTGTGCCAGGGACACGTCTCCTACCAGAGCAACGGCTCCGTCCCCGCTGCAGCA